GACAGCGCTTCACTTCAACCTTGCGCCAATTCAGAGTCAGTCCATAATGTCGCGCGCATTCCCCTACGCAAGACATCAGATCTTGGATGATGTCTAAATTGCCGTTTGGCAGGAGAGCGACGTCAGCGTACACCAACTCCCTGACAACATTCGGCCGTGGAACGTTCGGCACGCGCACCTGGAACATGGAATGAGCGTCGTCATTACGGTTGTGAAAAGAAGCAGTGTTCGTGGACATCCCTGACATATCCCAAATTGCTGGTTCCGCTCCGCCGACAAGGTGCCTGAATCGGAAGCGACGAAAAACCGATCATGATGCATCGATTCAACCATGTGGACAAATTTCGAGGGGCACCCAAACCTCCGCAGTGAAGTTGCCAAGGCGCTGGGCGATACTGAATCGAAGGCCTTCGCCCAGTCCGAAACGAGTAGCAATGACGAGCCTGGCTTCGTCGCCCAAGCGTCCTCGAGGATGCGCCTGGCCAAGAATATAGCGTCGCCGGTTCCTCGGCCAGATCTGAAGCCAAATTGCGTGCGCCAGATGCGATATTCGGCCCCTGCTTGCTTCAACCTTTCCAACCGTGTCATATTGGTAGGAGGCTGATACCTGTAAACGCAGGCCGACGGGTCGCTCTTCTTCTGAATCATAGTAATTCTGACCATACAACTTTGCGAAATCGGGTAACCCAAGACAAGTACGGACTCCCCATCTTCGATCACGGCGTTCCAGAATTCCGGCGGCACTTGATCGAGTCCAGACAACTGCGCGCCCGTTATTCAGCTTCTGCGCGGCTTCCCGGTCTTCTGACTCCATGCTGGCACCGAGCCTCGCGGGTAGTTCAGAGGTGGATGCTCTCGCTGTTCGGGAGGACCGCGGTCGGACGCACCGCCCGCCACTTGATTTGATCAAAATGCTCGGCCAAAATGTCTGCCCGCCTGTCGCTGTCCACATTCTCACCGCGCTGCTATCCCGTAGTCTGCCTGGTTGTCGCGTTCGCACTTTGCGCACCTTCCAGATCTGCTCCCAATCGTCTTCTTTGGTAACATCCTGCAGCCAGTGGGCCTGGTCACGGGCGACTGATGCTCGGATCTGTTTTGCAATTGTCTTTTCCTCCGGCGCGTCCCCTTGGCGTCTTGCCCCCTTTCTCCTTGATATCAAATTGAGTGCAGCAGCTCGTCCAGGGGCGTCTCGGTCGACGGCGCTCGACAGGCACTGTGGATTCCTCTGCTCGCCAGAAGCCGTCTACAAGACGAGACCACGCGATGTTCACGTTTCCCTCATCCAACGCTGTCCTCAAACTGCTCCATCGCCTCGCTGAAGCAACGGCCGAAAGAGAGCTTCAGTCCAGGCTCCAGTAGCGATCGAATGTCCTGCAGGGGATTTCGTTCAACTGGGCCCTTCACCACTTCCATCTTGAGCGCGGCATGGAGCAGAAAATTGTGCGACGACAGCGGCGCATGTGTGAGGGATCTCGCGGCCTTCACATTGTGCAACCAGTTGTGTTCACACACGAAGAAATCGATCTGCGAGTGGGTTGCAATGATACGGTGCGGACGCGGCCGCAAGAAACCCTCGCAAGAAACCCAGCCCTGAAAACCCGCGCGCGAGATGCACACGGGGGGGAACCAAGAGCACCCTGAACGCAGCAGTTCCTTCAACGGCCGCGGGACGTCATCGCGCAACGCGCGGAGCGAAGAAACCCAGGGTACCCTAACGAAAAGCTGATGGTTTCTTGATGCGCGTCCCCCCTGTCCGCTCTCCCAGGCTGGGCGGCCGCGCGTCTGGGGAAAAGGACACAACACATTTGATCCCTGGACTGTTCGGTCGCGGTCGGCAGCGATGTCGGGGCTCCCACTTCACGAGTGCAGTGTGCACGATGAAGCGCGAGAGGGGCGCAGCGTGTGCTGTGACGGAAACTCGCGCATCATGCCCTCACCTGTGCCAAAGCCGCCCCCGACACCGAGGCCTGACGGCTTGCCCAAGGCCAGCGCACGCTTGGGTGCGACGAATCGGGGCAGATGCCAGCCAAGCATCGGCCAGCGCTGGCTGCAAGCCACTGATTCTGAGCGGCGGTCGCAGGTCTTGCGCGACGCAGGGTCGCGCCACAGTAATTGTCGCATCGGCGCGCGGAAAGGCGCACGAGCGCCTTTCAGCGCCGTCATACAACGTGTCGCTTTTCTTCGTGGGGCGGAATGCTGTAGGCCTCCTAGGTGGGGTCCGAGTAGATGGGGCCGGAGGATCGCGCCGCATCGCCAATGCATCACCGATTCGGCTCGATGCGGAGCTCTGTGTTCTTCACGCAGACGTCGCCGATGCATCGCGGACGTCGCCGATGCATCGCCGATGCATCGCCGATGCATCGCCGATGCATCGCCGATGCATCAGTGATACATTGGCGACCCATTGCGATCCTCCGACCCCATCCACTCGGATAGGGGGCCACATGTGAACCCTAGCCCTACCCCCCACGATTTCCGAGGGGGAGGGTGGGGTTCACTTCGTTCGGTAGCTCCCGAGCGAAGTGAACGCCACCCTCCCCTCAGAAATCGTGGGGGGTAGGGGTAGGGTTCGCATGTGGCCCCCTAGGCGTGTCCAGGCCATCGCGGATCGGGACCCCGGACTGCGACCCCGTGGATGCCCCGCGCGGAACACAAATGTCAATGTGACCGCGTATTCTGGGAAAGAAAATTCCAATACCGCCACTCCCCAGGCTTCTCCCGGGGTGCGATCTGCCTAGAGTGTCGATGACAATCCAAGCATGGCGACGGGGACTCTCCAGAACAAGCAGCGGCATGGGCATCTCTCACTCCTCTGATGTCCATTGGATCGCGCCGCAGAGTCCAGGACCGCGCGGGCATGGATATGGTATGGATACGTTCGCCGCTCGTGGGTTTTAGGGGACGCTCAGCGAGCTTCAGAATTGCAGGGACTTTGCCTTGCCAATCTCCAGCAAGCTCCTGGAATACGAAAACGGTTGAAAAGAACGGCTCCCAGCGCTTCCAGGCCCCACTAAGGTCTGACGGTGCTGGCATCCGCGCTCCACTATGTGTGAGGGAGATTTGAAGACTGGCTCCCCGCGATTAGCTCCTGTTAGTGTCTACCCAATGTCCCCACTAGCGCCACGCCTGGCGCCTGTTGGCGCCCGTTGGCGTCCGTCATGTGTCAGTGAGCGCCTATGAGCGACCACTCCTACCCCATCATAGACGTCAATGGCCAGGGAAGGCGACAACTCCTGCCTACAGGGCAAGTGTTAATACACGTGATGTTTAAACATATAGGACTTATGATACATGATTAATATATGACTGAATGTATGCACGAACTCATCGTTGTGTGTAATACTGAATCCGTGCATTTCTGATACATGATCCGCACGCGGAGCATGGATAAAAAAACGACACTGTACCTTGTCATAGACGTCAATGGCCAGGGTCAGCGCCCCCCAAACGGGGACTCCACTAACGGGTACTTTGGCCACTGACCCAGCGAACCCAACCCTTTCCGATGTGGGCAAAGCTGCAATGCAAGAAAAAGGCCCTAAAGTGGCAACTTTCGGCAAACATTCAAAGTACCCGTTAGTAAGTACCCGTTACGGTGCCGTTGACAGGGAAGGCGACAGCTCCTGCTTCAGAGGAGATCGCCGCGCATAAAAACACTCCGTGTGACTGCGATGCGCTTCCTCGCTCTGCCCCTTCGCCTCCCGCCTCCCTCGCCCCTCCCCCTCCCCCCCACCCCCGCTCTCTGCAGACGGAGCGGTGCTGCTCTTACTGACGGGGCCCTGGGGACATACAAAGCAACAGGCACAGATAACAGGAGTCCCCATATTGTCCCTATATTTTCCGGGGGTTCGTCTTCCCCCCCACTTCCCATATTTTCCTATATTTTCTTGGGAATCGACGATTCATGGCGTCTGTGCGTGTTCTCCCCTCCTGATCTACCCCCCCGCGCCCTCGTCTGCGCAAAGCTTGCCAGTGGTGGCCGGCCGAGGCTCAGTGACGCTGCCTTGGTGATCACGCACACGCGCACACCTCCCGAAGGTGCGCCGTCCGGGCGCGGCTGTTCTTGCCCTGTCGCGCATGAAATCGGAAACTGGAACGTATACATTACCAGTGACGGGCTGCCTTTTCAATCCCACATTTTTTTTGTAACGGTCGGGGACGACGTCGGGGTGGTGTGGTGCAAACTTGTCCCAGTTCTCAAAGGGAGACAACGAAAAATGTATACACAGGATCCCGAAGACACCAGGATCCGCGTTCCTGTGCGAATCTCAGCGCATGGTCGGAAAAAGCGTCGGTGTATATAGAGTTCGTTTCCCGATAAAACAGCCAACCTCCCGGCCCTGCGGCGGGGCGGGGCCTCCAGCTCGGCCCGCGCGGCCTCCTCGTCCGCCCGCGCCTCCGCGGCCCTCGCGGCGGCCTCCTCCCGCCGGCGCACGGCGGGGCGACGGGGCCGCATGGACGGTCGTCGCCCCTCTCTCTCTCTCTCTCTCTCGCTCTTTGTGTTTTTGTTCCTCTCTCTCTCTTTCTCTCTCTCTCTCTCTCGCTATATATATAGGTGCGTGTACCGAACTTTATATAGATGTATATATATATGTGTATATATATACATATATATACATACATATCGACCTAGATGTATTCGACCTGACTATCTATATCCCTCTCTCTTCCTGACCTCACCGCGTGTTCTCCGTCGTCGGCGTCGCTCTCGTCGTGGTGCGCGCGGCTCTGCCCGGGACGCTTGTTCCTCTGCGCGTCGTTGCTGAACCTAAACGGTGCTCTTCGTTTTGGTTTTGTTTTCGTTGTCCTACGCTTTTGACTCGAATCCGCCTTTACCGCACAACGAAGTCGAAACAAAAACGGCACACGAAATCACCAAAAACACCGTTCAGGTCCAGCCCTGTGGTTGACCCGAAAGGGGGTCCAACTGAAAGGGGGTGGTGCAACAGGGGGCATTGTACCGATTTTTTCGGTACCCATTTCGGGCGTCCAAAATCATGACCCCTTGCTCCTCTGGTACGTCGCGCCCGCGTCTGTGAATGCAAGGGTAGCAAGCGGCCACGGCTACAGCGAGTACGCAACCGGGGGGATGTCTTGCGCACGCCAACATTCGTCAGAACAGCGACACCAGCTTAGCACTGGTTGTAGTCGATGTGGGCGTCCCCGACGGCCAAATCGACCACAACCACAACCAAAGTGCTCATGTTGAGGTCGGCGGGTTCTTCCCCGATAGGCCCCTTGGCGGCGCGCACAAGGGGGCAGGGCAAGGGGGAGAGGCTTCTTGTAAGGAAGCTGCTTCTTAGCAGGCGTCGGCCCTGTATCTACAGACAAGACCTGCGCCTTCTAAGAAGCAGGGGTGCTTCCAAAAAAAACCTCCCTCTCCCCTCATACCCCCCTCTGCGTGTGGCCGAGCCCTCCAGAAGAATCCGCTCGACCGTGGTTGTGGCTCTTTTGCTGTGCCCGGAGTGAGGCACGCCCCGCCGAACAGCACCGTTAGAGCGGGCATGTCCTCTTAATCACACGCGGGTTCCGGAAGGAAAGCTTCAAAAGAGTCCAACAGGTGTCAGAAACAATCGTACGAGCACGGAGCATGGTCACCACACTGTTGTTCTGACTGCTCTTGCCTTTTCCTCCTGCAAAGGGACCCGCCCGACTCCACGGCAGCGCCACGGCGACCCGACGCCTCCGACGCCGCCCCTCCCTCTCGGAGCCCGCGGCGGCCGCTGAGCGCCTCCCGCGGCCCGCCCGGGGGGCCGCGAGCGGCGCCCGCCGCGCCGGCGGGGGGCCCCGCGGCCCTGGCCGAGAGAGCCTGCGCCGAGGGCGCCAGGCCGCGCGGCAGCACCGCGGGGCCCATGGCCTCGGGGCTGCGTCGGCGGGGGCCCCGCCGGGCGGGGGCCCGGGCTCTTCCGCATGCAGTCCACCCGCATCGCAAGGGTGCGCGGCAAGGGCGCGGGGGTCCTGGAAGGCCATGTCGACACGATGCAGGCGGGGCGCGGGGCCAGCGGAAGTCGCTGAGGATGGGCCGAGGAGGCAAGGATGCAACGGTGCCCTTGGGAATGTTGCCCATCCTCGCCATGCGGGCTGACTGCCTGCCACATGCCCCCACTTCGCTGTGCCCCGTCTGCGGTGCCCAGGGCCCCCAAAACGGGGGCACAGCCAGAGGTGGAAGTCGCCGTTCCCCGCGCCCCCGCTCGCTGTGCCCCCGCCACATGGACACGGCCCCCCAGCCCAGCCCGCGAGACCAGCCTTGTGACACGAGCGCTCGCGCAGCGCGCACGTCCGAAGCCAAGGTGGACTCGTGCACGTGCACGCCCCTCTTGCGCTCCCGACGGTCTCCGGCGCACCGCAGTGGCCTCTTCGGCCGCGAGCGGCGGCCCGCCCGCGGGGAGTCACAGGCGGCCCGCCACGCCGGCGGGGACCCTGCAGTCCTCGCACGCGGGGTCTGCGCCGGGGGCGCCGGGCATGGGCAGCACCGTGGGCCCCGCGGCGGGCTTGCCTCGGCGGCGAGCGAGGGGGGGAAGTCTGGACGAGCGCGTTCCACTACTCGCAGAGTAGCTACTCGCAGATGGCCTGAATCCGCCGTGGAGGATCTACGATAAATTACATTGAAATACACAAATGTTTTTCGGGCGTTTGCGAGAAGGCACTTTGCGAATAGTGGAACGCGCTCGGCGAAAGTCAGAAGGGGCGGGCCCTTTCTGAAGGCTCGGAGGTCCCCCGGCCTTCTGCGAAGTTTGCTGCGCCTTCCCCAGGGACACAGGAGACTTCTCGGAGGGCGCGGGGGCTTCTGAGACATCCCGCCGCCCTCTGAGAAGGCCTTCTCCTCCTCACTTCCCCCCCTCGCTCGCTCGCCGCCGATTGCAATCGGAGGCCAGCGATGGGGGGAAGTGAGGAATTCAGATATAAGTATTGCGCCGCGGATATTGCCTGCCGGCACGCCCTTGCCGCCCATGATGGCCTCCAGCTCGTCCAGGCTCTGGAGGCCGCTGAAGTGCCTGCCGTCGGCAGATACCCACTCCGGGTAGGCCTCGACGCCAGCGGACGAGCACCTGGACGCCTCGGCCCCCTTGCACCGCGGGTCGCACTCCACATAGGGCACCTTCGCCCAGGCCTCCCGGCCGAACAGCTGGCGCTGCATGTCGCAGTAGCCGCACCAGTACGTGCCGTAGAAGGTGAGCCCCTGCTCTCCCAGCTTCGCCGCGACGGCCAGCTGGCGCGGCCCCGACGTGCCCGCGACCGCGGGGGCCTCAGCGGGCGGGGCCTCCCGCAGCCCAGTCAGGATCTCCAGACCGGACAGTCCCTTGGCGCCCGGCGAGAGAACGAAAGGCCTGGCCGCGTCCTTTTCCGTGGCGGCCAACGCCCACGTGGGGTAGTTCCTCACCTCGGGGGCGGCCAAGAGGGGGGCGTCCAAGGGGGGGGCGGCGCAAATCATGGCCGGCGGCACGTGCGCGGCCCAGGGGGGGGTCAGGGACGCATTGAAATAAGAAGAGGCGCCATCAAATGACGTCTCTCTTTCAACGCCGCCCCAGGCGGGGCCACGATCGCAGGAGATTGACGCCTTCCATCGGCTTTTCGTTCGACGAGCGGGTGGATTTCTTCTTACGTTTCACATCGGGTCAGAAATTTTGTCGAGTACCAACCTACGCCTGGAGAGCGGGGCAGTCCCCTGGTAGCTCCAGTTTCAAGCAAGGTCATCGAGGTGGGCTTCGGTATGGACCTCTCTAGCACCACCCTAGAGTCAGGGTGGGTTGCTATCACTGGGTGTGATCATGGCCCCCGCCATGATATCCACCCTCCCCCGCGGCCCTCGTCATCACCCCCCCTCTTTGCCGCCCTCGATCACCCCTGCGGCGCCGCAGAGCTCCGGGTCCGCCCCCACGCCCTGCGGGTCGCACTCCACGTACCGCACGAGGGCCTCGCGCCTGGGGCCCCCCGCGAACACGTCCAGGCCCAGCTCCTGGCGCTCCGCGTCGCAGTACGGGCACCAGAAGGTCCCGAACATGATGGCCTTCCGCTCGGCCAGGGCCCTTCCCACCTGCACACATCGGGCGACGAGGTCTCTCTGCACCTAAGTCGGGCTGGTCCCCCTACAGGGGGATTTTCGACGAAAAATTAAAAATACCCCAAATAGTCCAAAAAATAGTCCAAACATAGTCTGGGGACTATTTTTCAAATTGTTTTTGCCCTTTTTGTTGCATTTCTAGGGTATCTTTAATTCTTCGTCGAAAATCCCCTGTAGGGGGACACGCCCGACATAACTCTACACGTGTCCAGCCGCCGCTGGCCAGGCCCCCCCTGGGCCCCGGGAGCGCTGCAGCGACAGGGGAGCAAAGAATGGCAGAAGCAGAAAGACGCGGAGGTCCGCGCGGAGTTCTCGGATCCGCGCTGGGCCCCCCCCCTCCCTGGCGCGCGGAGCGCGCCAGGGGCGGCGCCGGAGGCGCCGCCAGGGGGGGGTCCAGCTCGGATCCGAGAAACCCGCGCGGACCGCCGAGCTTTTGTGCTTCTGCCATTCTGCGTTCCCCCAAGAAGGGCCCGCCCCCTGGCCAGGCCAGGATGGCGCATGCCGGCTCCAGGCTGGGCCTTCCCGGCGGCGGAGGCTGTGCACAGACCCCGTCGCACCTTCAGCGCCCTCTCCGACGACCGCTCCAGGATGGGCGGCGGCGCCTGCAGCACCTCGGCCGGCGCGGCCCGAGCCGGCGGCTCCAGCGCCAGCGCCCCCTGAGAGCTGGGGGCGCGAACGGGTTGAAGCCTGCGTAGTGCATCGTCGGAGACGTCGGCGTGGAGAAAATCGGGCTCCACATCGAGCCGCATCGTCGATGCATCGGCGATGCGGCTCGATCCTCTGACCCCATCTACATTGCGGGCGCGGCCGCAAGAAACCCTCGCACGAAACCCAACCCTGAGAACCCGTGCGCGAGGTGCACCTGAGGGGAAACCTGGAGCGCCCCGAACGCAGCAGCCCCCCCCAACGCCTGCGGGAAGTCACCGCGCAGCGGAGGAACGGAGAAACCCAGGATACCCTGACGAAAAGCTGATGGTTACTTGATGCGCGGCCCCACTGTACTCCGACCCCATCTACGAGGCCTGGAGGAGAGCAACCGGGGGCCTCGGAGTCAGGTCGGGGTGGTTCCGTGGGTGGTGGCCCGCGCCTCCGCGCACAGCTGCGCAGCCCCGCCCACCACCGCCGCGCCCAGCAGCGCCGCGAGCTCCCAGGCGCCCCGCCGCGCGCCGGCCGCGCCCCCCTCGGCGGGCGCCCGCGCCGCCCCGACGCGCCCGCCGCCGCGGCCGCGGCGCGCGGTGGCCGCGTGGGCGGGCGGCGGCGCCGGCCGCGGCGGCGCGGCCGCAGGGGCCCCGGCCGCAGGGAGCCCCGCGCACCAGGCCTGCGGGCGGGCAGGGCGCCCGCTGCACAACAGCTGGCAGCGGCACGGCGTGTGAGCAGCTCGCCGGTCCCCGGGCCCCGGACGGGCCCGGCCTGTGGGCCCCGGCCTTAAGGAAGGGGCCCAGGCAGGGCCCCGGCATGCGCCCAGAGCCGGGCGCCCTGCGCACCAGGCCTGCGGGCGGGCAGTCGCCAGCTGCACACCACAGGCAAGGGCACGGCGTGCACGGTCGAGCATGACTCGCGCGAGAGGAAGCGAGACTCTTCGAGGGCCACCCTGTCATGGGAGTGTAGGAGGCATGGGCTCATGGGTCCCGACACAGGGCGCAAGGGTACTCCCGACTTCGCGGGCTCGACCTCCTGATCTTGTGGGTGCCATGACAATGGACACTAACAATTCGATCATTGAGTGAAAGATGTTTTTAAACTGTGTAAAGCATGTTCTAAACATGTTCCAAACATGCGTTTACATATTTAAAACATGTTTGGAACATCTTCTAGACATCTGGAAATTATTTGGCAGCATGCTTCCTCTTCATTAATGGACTTCCACAACCCTAATCAAACTTCACCGCAAGCAGCAACACCCGTCCCGGGACCAGAATGGGACTGGCCTGCCGTCATGCGGGGCGCCAGCCAAGTGCCCAGGAACGGCCCAGCGATGGGCCAAGCCTCCCGCACTCGTCTTTCCACCGCAGCCACTGAGATGACCGCGGCGGTTGCTGAGGGCATAGGGGGGTTAGAAGTGGATGCGAAGGGGCTCCGCGATTCGGACCACTGATCATTGTGATCGTCGCCCCACCCGCGACCCACCCGCGACCCACCCGCCCCGCGATCCGCCCCGCGATCCGCCCCGAGGCCCACGACCCACCCACGACCCACCCTTCCTCCGTCGATAAAAATGGAGGGGCCCTGGGACACACAAATAAATACACAAAAACGACAGGATTACCCATATTTCCCCATATTTTCTAAGTTTTCGTGCTCCCCCCACTTCCCATATTCTCCCACAGTTTCCTGGGGATCGGCGATTAATTGTGTCTGTATGGTTTTTCCCCTCCTGCAAAAAAAACGGGAGCCTGCGGCGGCCTCGTTGTGCAACGCACTGCACTGCGGCACCCTCGACACGCCTGCTCGCATCATGTGAGCGTTGTCTCAGTCGGCGTTCCGACGTTGGGCGCGGAAAGGAAGAGGAGTCGGCGGTGGACAAACCTCCCGTTAGTAGACCTCCCCTTAGTGAAAACGGCCTGGGCCCGAAACCGACGAACCTAGACCCGCCAAAATGACGGCTGCGACGCCCTCTCGCGAACCAAAAACGGCCAATTCCTTAATCGACGTGTCAGGGTAGGAGGTCTGTCCACCCCCGAAGGAGGGGGGTGGTGTTATGGCTCCGGACCTCTGCTTAATGCAGCTGCTTGTAACGGTGCGTCCTATGGGGGAGACTCCCCCTTGCCGTCGCTCGGACGCCCAGTTCCCGTGCACTTTTCGGTTTCGTGCGTGCTTTTGTTGCTCGATGGTCCAGGATGGTCTTCAACGGTCCTCGCCGAGAAAAACATACATGTCCGAGGGATGCCAGGCCCCCATGCTTGAAACAGGCGCCAAAAAAAACAAGACCTGCTCCAGGGGGGGGGGAATGAGAGCCCGCGCCGATCGGGGTCCGAGGGCCCCCGAGAAGCCGAGCGCGGCAACGAACCTCAACCTCGGCTGTGCCCACAAGCAGGATCCCGAGATGCAACATCGCGAGAAATCACGGACAGAACCCCGCGGCCAGCGAGGGGGGAAGTGAGACGGGGCGGGCCTTCTCAGAAGGCTCGGAAGTCCGCCGTCCTCCTGAGAAGCTCTCTGAGGCTCCCCCGCAGACACAAATCACTTCTCAGGAGGCCAGAGGCCTTCTGAGAAGTCTCGCAGCCTTCTGAGCGGGGTGTATCGGCGGCGCGCCCCGCGGGGCAGCGAGAAGGAGCAGGCCGTCTCAGAAGGCGGCGGAGCTTCTCAGAAGCCATCGCGCCTTTTGAGCAGTTCTCGGTGCCGTCGGGGACGGCTTAGAAGACCTCTGAAAAGGCTGGAGGCCTCCCGAGCCTTCTGAGAAGGCCCGCCCCTTCTGACTTCCCCCCCTCGCTCGCCGCCGAGTCTAGAGCCGCACCTGAGGGGCAACGATAAGGGGAGACTGGAATAGGGGATGAAAACATCGACCGGGAATCGGCGATACACCGCCGATCGATCAGCGATAGGCCGCCAGTCAGAGCCTCGTCGGCGATCCAGGGGCGACTGGGGGTCGACGCGGCCCCCCCCGCATGCTTAACGCGGCTTCTTGTCGTGTCGACCCCGGCGTTGGTTCCTGACACCGCGGGGATCGTTCAACCTTGAACGATCGCCCGTGTCCGAAACGTCAGCTCGCTCCACGTCGACCGCTTCTGGGTCGCCAGCGGCGTTCAACGTTGAACGCCAGAGGCGGGCTCTTCGCCGTTCGACGCGACACGAACCTACCGTACTCCGTACTCCAAATCCCTTACTAATCGCCCCCCCCCACCCCCCCCTGAAAAACCGACCCCCCTCCAAATGCGACCTAATATTCCGGACCCCTTAATAGACGGGACCCACTAAGCTCCAATCCAAAGAAAGCGCCCTCATAAACCAGACCCCCCCGGTTACGAAAAAGGCGCCTGAAAAGATCCGACCCGGGGGACGATTAATAGTTGAGGGATTTGGAGTACTCCCCCCCGACTGTTGCCTCTGGCCACCCCGTCTTGGATCTTGGACGCGCCCGCGCTGGCGCCGCGGCCGCCCGCGCCGGCGCGGCGCCCAGCGCGCCGCCGCCCAGCGCGAGCGCGGCGAGCACGCCGCCGCTCGCCGCCCGCGCCCGCCGCCGCCGCCGGCCGGCGCGCGCCGCCGCCAGCGCGGCGGGCGGGCCGCAGGCCGGGCAGGCCTGCGCCAGGGTTATACAGTCGGACTGGATTGGGCAGGAGACGCGAGAGGACACAGGACCCTTCCGAGGGCCACTTTGCCATAGGAATGCAGGAGGCATTGGTCGCGAGACACGGGACACAAGGGTACCCTTGATTTGGCAGGGCCGACCTACTAATCTGGGCCGACTGCAGGTCGGGCGTGTTCTCGTGCAGGCGGACTGTGGAAGAAGAATGGAAAATAGTCCAACGACAATCCAAGAGAACCAAGAAACCAGAAAAGATCTTCCCCAGACTGTTTTTTATGCAACTCGCTTGGCGCACTCCTCCTGTATCGAGGGACACGCCCGACTTAGAGCCAGTCCTTCGGCTACTGCGAGGGGCGTGGTTTGGCAAGGGGTGTGGTGTGCCACCGGCACCCCCTTCGGGGATCTCCTGACCCGGGTCCATCCAGACCGGGAACAGCAGGAAACCAAAAAACTGCAATGCAGGAAAAAAAAACTGCGACGCAGGTCTTGGCAAACCCGGGTCAGCCAATATGCGCGGCCGCCTCGCGGCCACGAGCGGCTCGCTAATCCGGGTCAGCTAGAGGGGGTCTTCGCAAGATCCTGCAGGATCCGGTGCCCTGGCTGACCCCCGTTTGCACTGACCCCCGTCTCCTAGGCCCCGACCTCTGGGGCTGGGGGGCACCCCGGGGGGCGGGCGGAGACCTCGACAGAGCTCTCCTCCGCCGCGCCCCGCGGAGGCCCGACGAAGACGGCGTCGTCACCCCCAGGGCCCCAACGGTGCCGATCGCAAACCACCCTGGCGCGTAACCATAGCCTCTGCAGTCGCCGAACACTTGTCGTTGCTCGCCTCTGAAGTTCCTGATCGCGACCGACGCGAAGGGTCGCTACCGAGGTTGCTTCAAGCTCTGGTATCGTTCTCAAGCGATCTGCTTCAAAAATCGGAGGCGACCGATCGGTCGCGATCGGTCGCGGCCGATGGAAAGTGCCAGTCGGTCGCTACCGATGGCAACCGAGCAAAAAAGCACGACGTGCCCAACAGTTCACCTTGGAACCGCGAGACCGGATCGGGGCGGCCAAAGGCATCGGATCGCCGGCGGCCCGCCCCGAACCGAGCCGAGCTCGGACCGCGCCCAGCTCCGGACCGCCCCATGCGGCCCGGTGTGACCGCGGCAGCGGGCCGGCCCCAGAAGTCCTCCGACAAGTCTTGCTTTGTCCGCGGCCCTCGCGAGAACGCCCGTGCCCGGCCTGGCCCGCCGTCGGCGGCAACTCATGGGAGCCTCCCCATACCATCTCGACGGCTCTGGCGGATCGACGCTAGTCGACGCGAAGCGACGCTAAATAGCGCCGAATCGACGCTAAATCGACGCTCACCGACGCTGAATCGACTCCCACACCAGTCGACGCTGAAAACGGACTTGAGAGGGTATACCAAGCTCCCATGATTTGCTCATCACCGAACCCGCCCCCGTCCTCCTGTGGCCACGTCACGATGGGCAGGCGTCATCTGGGGAGTTGGCCACTCCTGAGCATTCCCAAAGACGGCGCGGCGCGAGTCGTGACGTGGCTGGCCCCCTCCCCCCCCCCTCCACCCTGGAACCGTCTCGCCATGGCTGAAGAGGCCCACAAACACACAAATAAATACACACAAATAAAAATATTCCCCATATTTTCCAATATTTTCTGAGTTTTTGTCTTCTCCCCCACTTCCCATATTTTCCCATATATTCTGGGAATCGACGATTAATTGTGTCTGTGTGTTTCTTCCCCTCCTGAATGGCGACCTCGGGCCCAGTAGCGGGCCCTGGAGGCCGAGATCGCAGCGAAAGACGCCGGGACTGAAGACAGCAGGCCCTCGGAGAGAGATCCCCGAGACTCGACGCTGCGAAGAAACTGCAGCATCGCGAAGGAGTCACGACTGGAGCCCTGGACCCCACGCACCTTGCGGATCTATTCTTTTCGGGCCAGGCCGATCCGTGACGGCCCTGGGGCGCCCGACACGGGGCAACACCGCCCGCCGTGAGAAAAAAACTGCGCTGCTCCGAGGCGCGGCGGCCGCCTGGCAGGCCGCTCCTGGCCGCCGTGCGGGGCGGCGAGCGTCGTCGTCGTCGTCGTCGTCGTCGTCGTCGTCGTCGTCGTCGTCGTCGTCGTCGTCGTCGTCGTCGTCGTCGTCGTCGTCGTCGTCGTCGTCTTCGTCGTCGTCGTCGGCGTCGTCGTCGCCGTCGTCGTCGTCGTCGTCGTCGACTCGGAATCGCGGCCGGCGACTCAGAGCGCGCCCGAAGCGGGCCCCGCGCCCCTCGTGGGGATCCACCCGGGGCAGTCGGGCGCTGCAGGGTCCTGCAAGATGCTGCAGGATCTCCTCCTCCTCCTCCTCCTCCTCCTCCTCCTCCTCCTCCTCCTCCTCCTCCTCCCCCTCCTCCTGCAGGATCCTGCGCGCTGCACCCGGGCTGGTGCACCCCTGGCTCTGCAGGGCCCTTCACGAGCTGGCGCTGTGGCTCGAGCAGGGACCGAGCGTCCTGGCATGCCTACGGACCTACCACGACATGCTCAGAACCCAGGACATGTCCTCAGAGCAAAACACTGCGCTCGGAACATACTTACGCCCGATGTGTCAAACCAGGACAGTCTCAGCCAGAACTGGTAGGAGCACATCCCGTGCAGACCACCAAAGGGAGTTCTCAAAGCAGCCCTTCAGTGGGCCTGCTGCAGGCAAGCCCGG